AGTTGTAAAATCTATTTTCAATTTTTTTAAATTTCTAACAGCTGAATTTCACAAATTTAAAACTAAGGTTTTATGTCATTATGTCACTCGTAAAACTTCACTGGCTAATTAAATCATTTTAAAAAATAATCGCTGAGTGTGAGAGTGAAAATTTATGCCATATTTGACGATAGCTATTTATGCAGCATTTAGGTGTTTTGATTAGAGTTAAAATTATTATACTCTATTTATACTTGTATTTAGAATTTAAAAAAGTAGATTATGAAACATTATTTCTTTTAATATTTGATAAAATATCAGTAAAACAATTGATGATTATTAATATATTTAATACCTATTAAAATAAGTAATTTTACATAACAAAACATGAAATTAAGTAATTATTATAAAATCCTATTTAATAAGGAACAATGTGACTTGTCAATTACTGAAATAGAAAAGAAAGGGAGAGAGAAAGGGACTAGCGGCCTGATGGTGAGAAGGAGACGACGACAACTGATTCAAAGCCTGTCAGCTAAGGTAGTGGCTGAGAAATCGAGTAGAGAGAGGGATCGGTGCAGCTAAGAGGGAAGATTTTAAAACGGTTTGGTCTAATTCAATGGTTTAGTTTTATTTTTATTTGATTTATAGATTTTTCATCAGGTTTGAAGATTTTAAAATAGTTTATAGGTCCGATTTAACAATAATAAGATATTTTCTTTTAAATTTCATTATATAATCCCATAAGTTGAAATTAGGGATAAATTTTTAAATGTAAAATATATGAAAATCAATTTTTGGGTATTTCATAAATGGTGTGATTCACTGATATATAATTATCATTATTCAAGCTTCGATACTACTAATTAAAGGCAATATACGTAGTTATAGTTATTATTTATTATATAGTTATTGTTTTCCTTTTTATTATTATTATTTTATTATTTATATTATTATATTATAGATAATTTTTTCTATTTTATTTTGTTTCGCATTATTTTATATAATTTTATTTTTTTCTATTTTTCTATTATTGGATTCCTAAATTTGAGCAATCCGATATCAGAATTATGGTATCATAATTCTAATAGACAAATTATACTTTAGAGTAGAAAAAAAACTTCGCATGCGAATATTGATTCTTTTAATATTTATTTCATTTGTAAAAATAGTCCGGATATGATCTCTCAGACTAAATTAGTCTTTGGTACCTTTTGCTATCCCGTCAAAAGCAAAAAATTATTATGATTTTTTTTAGAAAAAAAAACTTCGCATGCGAATATGGGATTCTTTTAATAAATTTATTTCATTTTCTTTGGAGGGGTGGGTAATATAAATAGTACGGATATGAACGCTCTCGAGACAAAAATTAGTCTTTGGTACCTTTTGGCTGATCCAGCACAAAGTCATAAAAGAAAAAATTATTGATAGATTTATATTATTTCAAATAAAATCAAGTAAAAGATACATAAATATCCACGGAGTTCCCATCGCCTCTTCATAAAATGCTTAGGTTCTTTTATATTTTACAATGGAGCCTGCTATAAAGCTTGTCCATTGAGTTAATACTGCTCAGTGTTTTTAAATTTGACTGCAGAAGGCTCCTTTTTAAGAAACATTAACTTAAAATTGTGTATCTATCATTTAACTGATTTTTAATGTTACTATCGTTCATTTTTTAAGAGGTGTAATAATTGATTTGCAAATGCACAGTGCAAACGGATTTTTCACATTAATTATTAGTTAAATTCCTATAATATATTCAATCAAATAATTTAAAGCAATTATCACTTAAATTGTAGATGGTATAAAGATAAAAAAGTAAATCTACATATATTATTTTTTTTCGCGAACAAAGGAAAATATATTTTTATTTTTCTTCTATTCCCAGCTATTCCCTCGCCTTTTCTAAACTATTAGAGATTGGAAATAATAAAAGAAAATGATTAGTAAAATCAATTCTTATTTTTCGTTCCCTCCTTTATTTTGCATATTTCACCTACACTTTCCACCAAAACATATGTTGTTAAAAGACTGAGCCATATGAATAAACCCAAAAGAAAAACAGGTACTCAAAAGAACATTTGCGAGAATAAGGCTCACTAATATCCTTCATTGAAGTTTCGAGACTTGTCTAGATACAGTTTTCGACGAAAATGCCAATTAGTTTCCGAGAAACTACTAGAATCTCTTCTATCTGCTTCCATAAAATATCCCTTCCATTCTCCCATTCCACAATTCGATCAGCATAATATCATCAAATCAAATCTCTGAAGTGAGTATACAAAATATAGAAATGGCTCTGAGAATATCCAAGTTTCTTCGGTAACTGCGGAAAGCTCACCTTTTCGATCCTTTCCGTGCTTTTAGACCGTTGGGATCCATTCAAGACTTTCCTTTTTCTCTTCATCATTCATTCAATCGTCTCTCGTAAGAAAATTCTTGCTTTTTTAGTGAACACTGATAGACTGGAGGAAACGAGACACGTTGAGGAAGCTTCATGTCCTTCAAGGCTGATCTTCCTGGGCCTCAAGAAGACCGAAAGTGAAGGTAGAGGTTAGAAGACTCGACAGAGTTTCTTTCAAATCAAAGCGGAGTAGAGGAATGTGGAAGAGAACAGAAGAACAAGAACGATACTTTGGCATCGATAGAGCGGTAGCAGTGGCAAGTTCCTTGAGGAAGTTTCAGGCTGCCGGGACGAATGCAAATATGGATGAAGTGAAGGCTTCAATGGAAATCGAGTTCTTACAAGTGAACTGTTCCTAAGGAGGAAATCAAGAATAACGTGAATGTTGAAGGCTAATGAGATACTTCTTGTGACATTGAGTTTTTTAACAAATTTTATTATGATCATTTACACATATTGAATGTACATAGAGAGATTCAGAAGTTGTTTTGATGTATTATAAAAACTTAATGTAACGGAAAATTAATAGAATCTTGAGTTGATAAAAAATCTATTTTCAATTTTCTTAAATTGGGCTAAACAGCCCTGAATTTCACAAATTTAACTAAGGCGTTGGTTTATGTCATTTAATGGTCATACGTAAAAATTTCTAACTGGCCTAAAATTAAAATCTAATTTTATTAAAAAATAATGTGTTACACATGTACTGGCGTAAATAAAGTATTTTTAAAGTTAAGCATAAGATACTCAAATAATTTACATTATACCTTATTAACTTATTATTAATTGTTGATATTATTTGATTTATAATTTAGTTATATTATATTTTAATATTTATTATGATGTACAAAAAAAAAAGTAGTATTTTAAATTGCTTAATCACAGTCCATTTAATAGTTTTATAGAAATCAAAAATAATAAAAATTATGGTTTAATTAAAAATGAGAAAAATATGTGTGAATTGTTATGTTAATAAATTTAATCACATATTTAATGTTTTATAGAAATCAAAAATAATAAAAATTATGGTTATTAATATGGAAAAATGTGAATTTATTTATAAAAATAAATTTGAGAATGTCACAATATTATTTTAATCCCGAGGGCTAAAATTATGTATCGACGTGTTTTTTACTTTGTATTATTATATATGGTTGAATTTTGTGTTAGATCATTTGATTTTGAAAATTATATTATACTTCAAAAATGTATTTCAAAAAAATATATATATAAGACAAGAATATTTGTAAATTATATCTCGAAGGATAAAATGAAATGACATGAATTAATTTTTCTTTAATTAAAGATTTCGAGTTTGAACTTTGGATATAAAATATCTTTAAACACTTGAAAGAGAGTATTTTTAGTTTCTTTGTAGGCTTTTTGGGGCGCAAATTTCATTAAAAAACTTTAGCTTGTTTCGAGGGATTCAATCAAGTGACAAAGCAATTGATTTATGCTATTAGCTATAAACATGCTCTACTTAATGACTATTTACAGTACCGCCCGACTCTATAGTTATTCAACAAGTTTGATTTAATAACTTTGAAATTTCTTTTAGTAGTTCCAAATTTCTTTCATTTACTAAAAAGAGATCCGCATCTCTATTTGTTTTACTTTCAAATAACAAAATGCTTTAAAATGCTAAAGTTGTTTGATTTCAAAATTTTATTTATGCATTTTTAAGATTGTTTTTAATAATAATAATGACATATTAATCTACTTGAATTTTCCCGATTTTGAATTAGTTGCACGAACATTTAAAAGGTTTAATACTCTCATAATATAGTTGGTTTTTTTAAAGATATTTATAACTTATTATAGATAATTATTTATTTATTTATTTAAATTTTTTTAATAAGTGGTTATCATTTAATAGAGATAATTTAACTATTAATAGATAATGATTTTATAGTTGGTTTTTTTAAAGATATTTATAACTTATTATAGATAATTATTTATTTATTTATTTAAATTTTTTTAATAAGTTACATACTTTTTTAAGGCTATGTGTGCTAAGTGTGTTGTGTCTTATTTTTTTTTATCTAAAAATAGTTGTATCATATTCCGTGGCAATTTATTTCATAGATAAACGGAAAAAAATTATCTAGACTGAATTTATAGTCCTATTTATGAACTAAATCAATAAAGCTAATGATTTTTATTAAAACGAAATATTTCTAATCATATACTTAAAAAAAAATTAAACCCACATATTATTTAAAAAATATTTAGCTTCATTGATTTTCATAAATAAGGCTATGAACTCCGTCTGCAAATTTCTTCCAATACACAGTACTCCTGCTCGACCCCGATTGGCTGACGCGGCTGGATCTTAAAAAACGACATCGACCGAGCCCGTTTGGAAACTAAGAACAAAAGTTCGAGAATGTGCGAGAAAGGCCCAAATCCAGATTTATCGAACTTTCCAAGCATTGAAGGTAGAACAAAAGTTCGAGAATGTGCGAGAAAGGCCCAAATCCAGATTTATCGAACTTTCCAAGCATTGAAGGTTCCAGAACTTTTCATATATGGTTTGTTAACGAAAGCCCAATTAGATTTCCCGAGAAACTACCAGAATCGCTCTTCTACTGCCTATAATAATCAAACCCATTACCCCTAGGCCGACCATCGACGATAAGAAGAAGTTCAGTTCTCAATTTACTTTCTCAGCTATCTATCAGATCTTGTCCAGGAAATAAACAAAACAGAAATGGCTCTGATTCCAAGTTTCTTCGGTAACTCACGAAGCAGCATTTTCGATCCTTTCTCTGCTTTTGACTTTTGGGATCCATTCAAAGATTTTCCTTTGCCTTCATCTTCTTCAATCGTCTCTCGTGAGAATTCTGCTTTTATCAACACTCGCATAGACTGGAAAGAGACACCAGAAGCTCATGTATTCAAGGCTGATCTTCCTGGGCTCAAGAAAGAGGAAGTGAAGGTGGAGATTGAAGATGACAGAATTCTCCAAATCAGCGGAGAGAGGAATGTGGTGGAGAAAAAGAAGAAAAGAGAATGATACTTGGCATCGGGTGGAGTCGTAGCAGTGGGAAGTTATCATGAGATGATTATCATTAAAACGGTCTGCGGATGAATGCAAAGATGAGATCAAAGTTTAAAGCTTTCAATGTTAAATAGAGATCTAACTGTAACAGTTCCAAAAGGGGGAAATCAAGAAACCTATGTCAAGCTATCCAGATTTCTGGTTGAGCTAATTTTTCCTGTAAACTTACATAATAGCAAAAACTAATGAACTGATGAAAAAGAAATTAATGATGTTTGGTTTTCTGTTATTTTGCTGAGGGTGTGACTGTTTGTATTTAAAATGCTATGCTGGTAGTGTTCTGAATCTTTAGATGTTACGTGTATTTTGTTCTGTTTATCAATAACGACAGTTAATTATTGCCATTTAATAATTAATTGATCTAATTTGGTATGTGCGAGGAGACAATTTCTATATACTTTTGTTGAATCAAAATTATTTCCCGGAAAATTTCTTAATATTGCTTTTATAATTAATTGATTATTTGGTTTGTCGAGGAGACAATTTTCTCTTTTTGAAATCAATTCTTTTCCCGGAAAATTTCTTATTTCATTATTTCATTTTTGTTGCCTCTGCACAAGTCAAAGTAAAAATCAGAAATTTAGATTAAGGGAATAAATAATTAAAAGGAAAATACAAGAAAATTATAGTTCTTAGGTTGGATCCCAACGTCCATGCAAATCATTTGTTTAAAAATACGATTATAGGTTGGTGCTTCTGATAAAAATAATGCTTTACATAAAATCATTTTTCATTTTAATGTCATTTTAAAATTATTTATTAATTTAATATTTATTTTAATATAAAAATAAAGTGTTGCACTAAAATCAGTAATTGAATTGATGATTTCAGTAAAATAAAAAAGTAATTCGTATTGATAAACAGTCAGCCAAAAGTAGTTATAGGAACAAATAATAATTTTTAATTTCTATTGAGACCACAAATTCAATTGGTGGTTTCAACACAAAATGAAAATTTTAAACTCTCAATTTGCATTTTTATTAAAACACGCAATTCGTTTGGTGATTTTAGTGCAGCTATGAAATATGACTATTAGTCAGCAAAAAGTACATGAGAAAAATAGTATTTTGTTTAGAGTCCACTAGATTCATTATTGGTTTTAATAAAAAAATATTTATTCACTCAAAATATTTTGTCACCAAAACACACATAAAATTTGGTGATTTTGGTGCAATATATTTGATATTTGCAACGAATTAGAACGTTGAATTTCATTTTGAGGTGCAGAAATTGGAGCTATGGTAATTATTCAATATCCTTTTATCTTATTTTATAATTTCTTAATCTAACTGAATGATAAATTTTGTTCTCATTTCCTCCATAATATTTTTTTAATACAGGCAGATGAGCTTCAATATATATATCACAGTTTAACATCACAAACATATAGAAATCTATCATTCCATTGAAGATTATTTAGCCTATTCGGTATAATGAATGAAGAAATTCGTAACGGAACTCATTGTATGCTTCAACATGCCCTTCTATCTATAGAGTTTCTTCGTGTTCAAACACCAAAAAAACTGCAGAGGTGAAGGAGACATGAAAAGATATATAAACGTATTCCATTTGAAGCCCTGCCAGTAGACGATATACCTCAAGTCTCTCCCTGTATGACATATAACTAGTATGAAGGTTATCGCGCTAATATGCCCAGCACATCATCTTCTACACCATAACCTGAATGGAGTGTACTATCTTCAATATTAGAAATGTCATTAAACATTCATTACACTTCGATGATGGCAACCCAACAAATCCATACTTCTTTCTCCAGAATAGGCGAGAGTGCCACTTCAATATACAATACCTGCTTTCAATATTTCTACGGTGTCATTCAGCACACTTGATGGATCTACATTTCATATTAGGCACTCATTTAATGATTTTTTTGAGATGATGATACCCGAGCAACAGACTCATATGACATTTTCTCCATAACAACCTGTCAGGGACTGCACCTTAGGCGAAATCCCACATCGGCTAAGCACAAGGTGGAAGTACTGTACATAAGGAGTAGCAGGCCTTGAGTTCCCGAGACGCGTTTTGTTCCCGAGATTTGGGCTAGGAGGTGGTTCCCTGGCCCAGGAACAAAACCGTGCGGGCCTGGGGCCCAAAGCGGACAATATCTCGGTAGAGCCTGGGATGTTACACAACCATTTGAGAAGATGCGGTACGTCGAAATCCACATCGTAATAGGAGGCTTTCAAGGTGTGGTACAGGAGGACATGTGAGTAGATATTAATATGATTAAGTTATTAAGATATTTTTAACATCATATAAGTTCAACTCGAAGCTCTTTGTTACTCTTGGTAATTTTTAACTGTGTAAGGAAACTCGTGTTGTTATTAGTTAACTTGAAATAATTATTAACTAAAACCACCAGATTATATATATGTTTTGGTGAAAAAAATATTTTGAGTGAATAAATACTTTTTTATTGAAACCACTAATTAATCTGTGGACTCTTAACAAAATGCTATTTTCTCGTGTACTTTTTACTGACGAGTGGTCACATTCTATAGTGTTCACATCTCATAGTTGCACTAAAACCACCAAACGAACTGTGTGTTTTAGTGAAAAGGTGAATTGACAATTTAAAATTTTCAAATTTTCATTTTGTATTGAAACCACCAATTGGATTGATGGTCTCAATACAAAATAAAAATTATTGTTTATTTATATAACTACTTTTTGTTGACTGCTTCTCAGTACGAGTTGTTTTTTATATTGCACTGAAACCACCAACTCAATTGATAATTTTAGTGCTATACTCTCTTTCCATGCCAAGGCAAATATTAGATTGATAAATAATTTTGAAATGACATTAGATTGTGAAATAGTTTTTTGAAGAGCATTATTTTTTTCAAACCTTATAGGGTGACCATATAGTCTTTCTTTACTTAATTGACTTGAAACCAATAAGAGAGCTTGTTCAAACAACAAGAACAGAAGAAAACTTTCCTTCCATTATGAGATTGTCTTGATAATCAATGAGGAAAGAATGAATATTTTTCCTAGATGTTGCATATGAAGATTGGAGGGATTAATCAGTAGCCATTCTATTTAATCCAAGTCCTGAAACAATGCTCAATTTGATTAGTAGCCCCAAACAAAGAACAAAATAATGCTCGAGGTGTGAAAAGGATGACTCATCCCGCTGCTACCTGAAACAATTGTCGATTTGATCGTTTTGCATCTTTTCTCAAAGAGAACATAAGAGAACATTACAGGGACCTTAGGTAGCTTAATTGAGAACACTTGTGAGCTGGTTTATGCTTCATGTTCTCCCTTTAGCAACAAGGTTGAGTTTCAAATGAAGGGAAAGACAACTCTAATAATAAGCTTCAAAACCTTTATAATTTATAATTTACGTAAAATAATTAAAACGTTCATGGTTATTCATAAGAGGGGAAATCAGTTTAGGAAAAACAATTACTCCCTCCGTCCCAAATTGATAGACACATTTTTCTTTTTCATTTGTCCCAAATTATTACAATTTTAATAAGCTAGTTAACATGTTAAATCTCTATTATATCCATATTTAATTTTACTTGTTAAAAATAACTTTCTTATTTTTATCAATTACTCTTTATTTTTCAATGCCATTATTTATTGAAAATCGAAACTTTGAAAATTGAAAATGTCAATAGTTACTCATAGTAACTACTACCTCTGTTCTATAATATTTATTATATTTGAGAAAATAATTTTTTCTTAAGTACATATCACATTTGTGGTTTTAAGAGTAACAAATATTTTTTTTTCGGTGTTTACCCCTTGTATATGATCAATAATTATTACTACCTCTGTCCCAAAAAAATAGTCCACTTTCTATTTTCACACATATTAAGAAATATAGTTAAATGATAATTTTATTCGTATAACTTTCCTATTATGTCCATCTTAAATAACACATGAGTATTGAAATAATAACTAAAAATTAATGAGCGTTATTGAAAATAAGGTAATTTAATAAGGGTATAGTAGACAATTTAAGGATTAATTATAATGCCAAAAAAAGAAAGTGAAACTATATTTAGGACAAACAAAAAAAGAAAGATAGACTATCTTTTCGGGACGGAGGAAGTACTTTAATTTAATGATTTTCTTAGAGAATTAATATTAAATGAAGGGTAATATAAACATTTTGCTCAATAATTTTTCTAATTTAGACAAATTTAATAAATGTAACAATTATTATGGAACTGAGGTATGTAATACTCCATTAGATAAGTAACTTAGATAATAAAGTAATTAATCTTGGTTGATTACAAAGTAAAATAACCGATTAACGTGTATATCTCATATTAAAGTATATCTGGTATAATAGAAATATATATATATATATATATATTGTCATTTCTAACAAAAATAACTTCTTTTTTTAATTCTTGTGAAATAAAAAGTGTATATAAATAAGAGACTGAAAGGAGTAAAGAGTAAGTATTTGATTCAATTTTTCGATTCAATCGATTTTTGCGGTTACTTTGTTATTTTTATTCAATTTTTCAATGTGATTGATGAGGTTTGGTTAGTAATCAAAACCTACTCGGTGTAATCGATTTTAGTTCAAGCAATCCTAATAAACCCAAAAGGGAAAGTGCTGTCCTTTTAAAATTAAGATCCTAAAATAATTTGCAATAACAGTGCTAACTTATAATAAATAGTTAAATCTATTTGATAGGAATTTGGTTCACCTCACTCTTTTGTTAAATAATTATTGTTGTGTATGAGAAAGTAGAGAGTCTTCATTTTCGAATTTATTTTTATAGAATTTAGATTCTTATATTTTTGTTTCATTAGATATATTTTCTATCTACTATAAAAAACCAATATATACAACATAATAGTATAATATAATATAATTATTCCGATTTTCTCTATTTTTGTTTGGTTTTGATTATTCAAAATTCGATTTTCGGTTAATTTTATCTAGTTTGATTTAATAAATTGCTTAAAACTAATCAAACCAATTGAATGCGCACTCCATTATAAAGTTGATAATTGGAATTTTAAAATTTTGCAACTATTTATGATATAAAAGCAAAATTTATTATTGTTGAATTTTAAATAATTTATTTTAAAGCAAAAATTTTTATTTTAATTGTCTTTAAAAGGGTTAATTGAAAATTTTTTAATCAATCTAAGGAACATACTAGAAGAAATTGATAATTGATGTAGAAAGAACACAGGTTCGAGAACATGCGAGAAAAAGCCCCAAATCCTTCTGAAGCATTGAAGGTTCGAGATTTTTCCAGATACAGTTTGTTAGCGAAAGCCCAATTAGATTTCCCGAGAAACTACCAGAATCGTTCTTCTGCATCCTATAAATAATCAAACCCATCAGCCCTAATCCCACAATCGACAATAAGAAGCAGTTCAGTTCTGAATTACTTTCTCAGCGATCTATCAATCTTTTCTAAGCGATAAACAAATTGGAAATGGCTCTGATTCCAAGTTTCTTCGGTAACTCAAGAAGCAGCATTTTCGATCCTTTCTCTTCTTTCGATGTTTGGGATCCATTCAAAGACTTTCCTTTCCCTTCATCTTCTTCGATCGTCTCTCGTGAAAATTCTGCTTTTATCAACATCGTCCTCTCGGAAAATTCTGCTTTTATCACACTCGCATAGACTGGAAAGAGACAACCAGAAGCTCATGGAAGCTCATGTATTCAAGGCTGAACTTCCTGGGCTTAAGAAAGAGGAAGTGAAGGTTGAGATTGAAGACGACAGGGTTCTTCAAATCAGCGGAGAGAGGAATGTGGAGAAAGAAGACAAGAATGACACTTGGCATCGTGTGGAGCGTAGCAGTGGGAAGTTCATGAGGAGATTCAGGCTGCCGGAGAATGCAAAGATGAATCAAGTAAAGGCTTCAATGGAAAATGGAATTCTTACTGTGACTGTCCCTAAGGAGGAAATCAAGAAACCTGATGTCAAGGCTATTGAGATTTCCGGTTGAGCTATTATTTCCTCTAAACTTACACATATAGCAAAAATATGTAAGGTATTTTCTGTTATATAACGATAATAATATTAGTTCCTTTTAAGATTAATTGATTATTTGGTTTCTGAGGAGACAACTGTAGAATCAAATCTTTACCCAGAACACATTTCTATTTCATTATCAGAAATTGAGATTTAAGTGGACAAATAATTAAAAGGAAAATACAAGAAATTTTCTTTACTTAATTGACTTGAAACCAATAAGAGAGCTCGTTCAAGAACAAGAACAGAAGAAACCTTTCCTTCCATTTGGAGATTTTCTTGATAATCAAGGAGGAATGAATGAATCTTTTTCCTAGATGCTGCATATGAAGATTGGAGGAAAACAAGGAACAGAAGAAACCTGAAGAAACCTTTCCTTCCATTTGGAGATTTTCTTGATAATCAAGGAGGAATGAATGAATCTTTTTCCTAGATGCTGCATATGAAGATTGGAGGAATTAATCAATAGCCATTCTCTTTAATCCAACCAAGTCCTGTGTTATCTCCCAGATGGTGTTCAGGATGTTGGGTCATTTTGAGCAAATTTTTACTGCATTCTTGGATTTCTAGCTGATGCTTCCAGAGTCCTTGGATCCAGCAAAATCTGGTCTCAACACTGCTCCCTTTAGAAGATGCCAAGTATTAATGGCCTAATGGTGATCTGTACTACTTTGTTATTTTCCCCAGTAGAAGACCCTGAGGAAAATTGTTCTATCATTTCTTGCTGTGCAATGTTTTATGAACAATACAAGCTTCTAGCTTTTCCACTTGCTTTTTGCCCATTCCATCTATTTATTTTTCTTTTGTGTACATTCTATGTTTATTTATTTTATTCATTAGACCAGGTTTAAATTTGCAATCCCACATTATTAAAATAATTTCAATATTATTAAAAATAGTTTGGTTGAGTAGTTGAAGTGAGTTAGACTCTACTTTGATCACTATAAAATGGAGTCATAGAATCGGCTTCTTGGTGAGAGTTTTAACAGCTTTAACATGATCGGTTCTCGGCTCGAAAGGGATTAATTTTTTACCAAACCGTAAAATAGGGGTAAAAGTTATTTATGTGATACATATTTAAATCAAATAGATAATCTTTGTTTAAAAAAATATTAATGAACAAGAGTAAACACGAATCTCGCATGAATCTCAAAATAAGATTAACCTTCAAAAAGATGTGAGACTACTGATAATTAAATCGAAACATAATTTAAATGTTATTGAGCCAAAATTTATTTGACATATATTCTAATTAAAGAAATGTCAAATTTAAATTCTTGAATTTTTATAAGAAAACTAGAAAAATATTTGGTCAACTATTTAAATGAATTGAAATAATATTGTAAATGTATTATTTACAAATTAATAATAATTTTCATTCTAATAATTTGTATCAAATTGATAAAAATTTCAGTAATTAGAGACTCGACAAATTGATAAAAATTTCAGTAATTAGAGATTCGAATCCGATATTTCTGATTCTTGAAGCAGAAAATGAGAAAATAAAGAATAATACCCACCTAATTAACTTAAGGATTAGGGTATTTGCATAAATGGGTGATGCCCATCCCTCCTTTTTTAGACGCTTCATGTTTATCTCCTTATCATTATAGCTGCCCTGTTTGCGTAGTGGCTCTGAACTAAGTTATGGACCGTTATATTATTCCCATGAATGCAATAAAACGAAAGCAACAAATCAAAGAAAACCTAACCTAACAGCAGTCATATCAACTTTATTAAGCTATTCAGTAATTTCTTTTGGCTATTACTTTATTTTAACTGATCTAATTATTGGTGTTTTTTTATGGATTGCCATTTCTTGCCATTTTCAAGTAATTTGCTCCCCATGTTAGGACTTCTTTATGGTCAGGATATGGATCAAAATAAACTAATTCTTTTTAGGTGGTCTACGAGCTACTACTGCTCAACTCGATTAGTTAATGAAATACCTATTAAGTCTTTGTGTGTTAATCCATATCTCTACGTGTGATTTGCGTTGAAACATAAATTTTTCGGCCCTATTCTTTTTAGGAACTTTTTTAGGGAAAAGGGGCGAAAATGAATAGGTATCTTTCAATTTTTTTATTCATCATTGGGTTGAATGAACTAATTGGGATAGTTATACGAGTTAAAAGAAAACAAACTTTCGAAATTTGAAGTAAAAAAATGGAGATCATTTCCTATGTTACAAGAGTAAAACAGAAAAAAAAAAAGAAGACCGATTGCCCCAAAGATTGGTGGATTAAGTCATCTGACTTGAAGCGGGCTCAAAAAGATCAACCTTGTTTGAGTTTTTCTTGAGTTTCCAACTATCGATTTTATATCACTATCATTTATATGTATTACCATAATTCTAACAGGTGATTAAGCAAAAATGAGTGGATGGTTAGAGACTCGAATCCGATATTTCTGATTCTTCAAGCAGAAAATGAGAAAATAAAGAATAATACCCACCTAATTAACTTAAGGATTAGGGTATTTGCATAAATGGGTGATGCCCATCCCTCCTTTTCTAGACGCTTCATGTTTATCTCCTTATCATTACAGCTGCTCTGTTTGCCTAGTGGCTCTGAACTAAGTTATGGACCGTTATATTATTACCATGAATGCAATAAAACGAAAGCAACAAATCAAAGAAAACCTAACCTAACTCCTTTCCTTGGACTTGTAGATTTTAACTAAGAGAAACTCCAATTCCAATGCTAAATAGTTTTCTTTTCAACTCTTTGCATTAACTTATCGTTCTCCTATCATTTATTCACTTGATTTTGTTCATTTTCATAAAAATCTCATTAGAATTGGGATATCTATGCAGCTTAAGAACAACGGCTCGAGGCATTAGTCCGGAGTTCTTGAATGGAAATACTAGCATTCAAGAACATCTATAATACCCCTTTAATAATGATTTAATTGGTTTATTTTTATTCTTTTTCTTAAATAGTTCAGAAGTAAAACCGGTTAATTTTAAGTTTGGCTTACTAATTTTTTGGGTCAATTTACCGGATCAATCCGAATTTAATAGTTTTAATTTTCATGGTCATGAATTATGACTTATTCAGAAAAATTCGTTGTGCAACATGGACAAAATAAGTTTGGGAAAATCTATTGGGATTAGAGTTTGTTTGGAGAGTATGTGAAGTTGTTTCTTTCCACTGTGATGGAATTTTTCTCTCATCTTATCCTTGAACAAGAGATTTTATAGTCAATCTCATAAATTTTCTATATAGTTTATTCGGCTTAAATTACAAAAAAATCCCAACTATGTGACTTGTTGCAATATCACTTTAAAACGACCTTTATACCTTGAGCATTCTCATTTAAAAATATAAATATATTGGCACCGTAGTTTAAAACTTAAACCATAAAAGGACTAAAGTAATATTTAATGCGTGACCTATTGATTTAGCCGAGTTAGTTTAGCTCAATAACCAAAGATTTGTAATTTTGGAAGATTATTATTGTTTAATTAATTAATAAGATAATATTACACTTTTGGGCACTTTTTATAGTATCAATCCGCCTCTTAACTCTCGTAGACCACAACGAATTGGAGTATATGATGAAGATCGAGTGAAAGTACTATGTGATAGAAGCGAACTTAAGATATTCTTAAGAAGTAGGAATATAGCTAATTTCTTTGATGGTTTTTCTAGGTCCTCATATAGTTATTTATAATAAATCTGAAATTGTAACTGAATATGTACATTTATGATAAGAATCTTGGCTATGAATGCCGGGCAAGAATCTCGACAATTAGTGATCTTTAATGACTACATTGACTGAACGTTACTTTTATTCAAACGAATCCGAAGACTGTTTGGTCTTAATTAATTGCTCAGCTCTTTATGTTGCTTGGTTACTTGGTTTGCTCGGTATAGATTAATAATTTGTTCCTATCAAAAGTTTCTCCGAAATATATCGAACCATTTATGTTCAGTCATCTCCATGCTCTTTCTAGCACTTTAAGTCACTTTCGAACACCTTTTTATCTTGCTCTTCCACGTAAGCCCTAGATGTCAGTTCATTATTAGCTCACGTCTTGTCTTTAATAGACGTGACTTTTGGCATTATCAATGCTCTTAGGCCCTAGATGTCAGTTCATTATTAGCTCACGTCTTGTCTTTAATAGACGTGACTTTTGGCATTATCAATGCTCTTAGAACGGCATGCTTCTTTACTTCATCATTAAGGGGCGACTCTTGCTATTTCATGCTTGTTGACGTTTCGCTTTCTCTTGACGTCTCTTCCAATTCTCTCACCTGCTTCTAAATTGAAGGCTGAAGCATTTCCTGTTGATTTTTAAAGTTCTTTTACTGTCATTTTCATTTCCCTTTGCAACTTTCTGTAAGATTTCACAAGAGGTAAATTTTTCCTTTCTCATCTCGCCTTTTCCTTACTTGTTCCTTTGCTTTTCACAATACTATGAACTCTAGTACCCCACATCCTGTCTGGAAATGGCAAAGCTATTGCCATTGAAGACTCTTCTTCTTCTTCAAGCTCTGAAGCCACCAAATCAGGTGGTTTTCCTTCCAGCGGTCTTCCAATCACCATGGAAGCGGTGGATCAAGCTTCTAGGATATCACCTGGTAGGGTCCGAGCCACTAGTATTGTCATTAGAGATAGGAATACCCCTCCTCGTCTCAATAGAACTCTCAGCCTGCTCAAACAAAAATTAAAAAGACTGCAAAAAAGAGTAAAACTATTTCATTATTCGGGGAAGAGGGTATGGAAAGACTTAAAGTAAAATATTCTATTTCTGATGAGTTTGAGTTACTTCCTATAGGTAAAAATGTTCGGGCAAACTCTGAGCAATGTCCCAACTTCCTTATCCTGTATGAAAAAGTCTAAGCGTTGGTGTTCGCCTTCCTCTCCAAACAGATTTATGTGACTACCTTAATCAGCTCGGCATCACTGTATCACAAGTTTTAATCAGCTCGGCATCACTGTATCACAACTTGCCCCAAATAGCATTAGGATTATGCTCGGGTTAAGCATC